GCTCTCTTTGTCCCAGTGTTCAGCTCTAGCCTGCATGCTGCAGATGTCAGAGGAGGTTCTGGATGAGTTCAACCTGAAGGAGTACAAGACAACAGCAGCAGGACGACGTAGACTGATTCCAGCTGTGAGGAACTGCAGAAAGGCTCGGTGAGTCCAGATGTCTTCATTCTGTTTCTGATTTAGCTCTGTTGTCCTCCTAGTTCTTCTTCATGGTTCAGTTGCCTTAAGATGTTTTTAAGCCTTTAATTAGAAATGTGTTCTTCCCTGCATCATCGGCAGAATTTCTAGGCCTATTGCATCTAAAATCCATTTACTTTATTCATCCTCCTAAATATAACTCTTTATACCCTTTGTCAATGCATCCCCCCTTCTTCCACCTCTACAGGTGAAGCTTGTTAGGAACCATCACAGGTGTGACATCAGTAACCTTGAGGCAACAAGGCTTCACTCTTTAGAGTATCCTCGCTGTGACTAGAGCTGCGCTTTTCTGGACTTTTGGGTGTGTCCTGTTTAGCCGATATTGCTCTGGAAATCAATGTCCTAGAGCTAGCTATCCCGTCAGCCTTGCTTACACAAGCAGAGCAGTATTGCTTGCCATAAGGTTCTGCTTGATACTTTTATATTAAACTTTGAACATTATTTAGGAAGTAAAATCATATCAAACGAACATGGAAAGGGAGGTAAGAGAGAAAGAGGGGGTAAGAACTAGGGGAGAGAGAGACAGAGACTGGAAAGAGTGCATGAAAAGAGAGAAAATAAAACAAAACAGCAAAAATAGACATAGAAGACATACAGTAACTCCTAGAGGTCTGCATCCATGTCTGTATGAAATGAGAGCAACATAAATCAGAGCGCATTACAACAAAAAGAAGAAAAACAGTTGCTCGATCAGTCTGCTCAGTGAGCATTAGCATTCATTTAAAACCATTAGCAGTTAAATCAGAAAGCTTATTTCAAATAAAAAACAAATACAGATATCTATTCTACCTAGATCCCTCAAGCAGAGCACTTATTAAGCATCAGATGGAAAGGGGGAAGGATGGATGTTATTGTTTTGGCTCGATGGAATGGATTTTCCGGGTGGGTTTGGTTCTTTGCAGGTCCCGTCTTCAGTCCAGTCCATTTGTCCAACAGCAACATAAGAGGCAAATTAATTTTATAATACCAGGAAGCCCGTGATGTCTCCCTTTATCTATGCAGGTTAGCTAGTAGCGGCAGCCCTCATGTAGCAGCTGTGACAGGGCAGCTTTCAGGCGGCAGTCAGGACCAGTATGGTGTGTCAACAGCTTCTTACGGCTCCTCTGCAAATAGCAGTTGGGCCTCGCTGTGTTCCTTCGGCAGTTAGATTTAGGTCGACCAGAGCTGGGTTAGCTCTGCTACAGCAGGCATGTTTGTGAAGCATGGTGATCAACTCAGTTTGAATAGCAGGAAAAGACGGTCACTTCGATTAGCTCCTTCTGAATCGTAAGAAGGGTAGTCGTGCTCAGTCTAGACTAGGCCTTTTGTGAGTGCTGGCCACTGGCAAAAGGAAGTTGAATGGAAAGTACTTCCTTATAAAGTCTTGTGTAGGCGTTTGACTTTAGAGGGGAGTCATTCCCGTTACATCGCTGACATTTGATCTCAGCATCAGGGTGGTATATATCGGTAGCTACAGCTTAGTATTCAGGATTAGTGTGTATCCATATACTTGGAACCAAATGCATGAGCATTCTCATGTTTAAAGGATCCACAAACCTTCTTCATGTGAAATTATGCTTAATAGCAGGTGTGGGCAGCCCCA